CCATCATTTTCCCGTTCAGCAGGCTGGGGTCCAGAGCAGCAGAGTGCCTCGCCCAGCTGCACACGGTGACACTGGTCTGGGACCCAGTCCCAAGTCCCTCTGGGTTCTTCCTCCTTCCCCAAGAATTAAATGTAATGGACATTTCTCGATTGAGGCACAGAAACCCTGACTAGTGATTGCCCCTGTCCTCCGCGGGGCAATATTTCTGAAACATTTTGGTGACATTGACGTGACCCCCTTCCCCATGTCCTGCAGTGCGGTCTCTGGAACCAGCACCGGGGTTTGAGCTACACATTTCACCTCCTCTGCGGGGAGGTGACAGTCACAGCTGTGTTTCTAATTACCCAGTAAAGAAAGAATATGTTCTGTCACATTCCAAGAAGTCGGTACCCAGGGAGACCTGTTATTTGAACTTCTTCAGGGCTATCTCCACTTGGCTGCTTACTTGGCTGCTCGTTTCCTAGATTTGCAGAGAAGTATAAACATGCAGTGCCTCTACCCAACAGTTCATCATTTCCACACGGAGAAGCAGAATTTAAAAGCCAGGGAATAGGGTATCCACAGACCAGTGCTACCAGGCAAGTTACAAAGGGTAGGGATGGCTTCCCGTGGTCTTCTCTCTCCACGCAAGTCCCACTGTCATCTTCCCACTCAGTGGTTTACATTCAGTGGTTTATGCTGTTTTGTTTCATTTCCAATAAAATGGAGCCTTTCCTATCACACAGATAAGTCACTTGTTTTTTGTAGAATTGTTTTGAATATTTTTTGAGGAAAATGTTTAAAATCTAAACACTTATATAACTCTCAATTCTTCATTCCTCTGGAAAGACGCTGACAGGCTACTAATGGCCCCAAGTGGTAGATAATTGAGAATCCTTCTGTCTGGCTTTGGATTGCTTTTGAGAGAGCGGTGGGGGCGGAGGTAAGTGAACAAGCTTTTAAAATTTGGATCCATAGTGTACCCAATTGTGGGAGAACTTAAAAACATCTCAAGCACAGGCATTAAATCCTCGTGAGGTTCATGTGCTCCTGGTCTGTGTCACACAGTCTCAAATTAATTATTTGTTACTGTCCCTGCATCCTGGCTATGGTATCAATTCAGTGAGATTTATTAAACTCCTAGAGTGCAGGACCAGTCATTTTGGGACGCCCTGTCTTCCTAG